ATTATTATGCACATTTAGTTCCACTTTGCTACAAACCTAAATTCACCATTGTGTATCAAGGCAGTCACAGAAAGCAGAGTATGAAAGTAGGGTATAAGAGTGTAACAGCGAAGCATACATTTTCATCTCATTATGTCTTTTCAGCTTCGCGATCACCCCCCCCTACTGTGAGGTGATGGATGATTATTCACATGAGTGGAATATTTCCTTTTGTTATGCACCAAGGTGCCTATTTTGAATAGCATAAAATCATATGAAGTAATGACATCTCCTGGCAGATTAAGCTACACTCGGTGGGACATGCATGCATGTAAATGCATGAATGCGAAATGGCTAAAATCAAATTAATGGCAAATGCGGGCGTGTATTCATTTAGTGTAATTAAAGCACACACACGTATGCGCACACACGCACACACACGCACACACACACACATTATACTTTAATGAGGACAGGAAGCTGTCTCTCTGCTGTCTGGCGCCATCTGTCACAACAAAGATGGAGGAAGTTTGAAGTTAAGCTTTGATCCTCTCCAACGTTGGACACCGCCAGACCATCAACCAATTAAACACACCAAGACCAAAGCTACATAGCCAAGTGTCATTTTCATTCCCCTCTCTATTTCACAGTGAATCTTCACTGGTGTCAAGTGTTGGCAGGCAAACTTTTTTTTTTTCCAAATGGAAAAAAATAAAAATTCAATCCCGAGTCCCGAGTCCCCCTTGCATGGTTGAGGCGTCCATGGTTGAGGATTCTGGATTTCTGGATTTCAAGGCCAGTGAAGGGCCGTCAGATCTGGGCTCCCCCTGCCTCAGCGTCCCACCTCGGCTTTCCCTCCTGCACAGACTGTTCCTTCCTCAGAAGAGAGGGGGAGAGAGGGAGAGAGAGAGAGAGAGACAGAGAGAGAGAGAGAGAGACAGAGAGACAGAGAGACAGAGAGAGAGACAGAGAGAGAGACAGAGAGAGAGAGAGAGAGAGAGAGAGAGACAGAGAGAGAGACACAGAGAGAGAGAGACAGAGAGAGAGAGAGATTCCCCCTCTCAGTAACGTTGCTGTCAGGTGTGTCGGCTAGCCAAAAAAAAAGTCTTTGTGTGTGTGTGTGTGTGTGTGTGTCTCTCTCTCTCTCTCTCTCTCTCTCTCTCTCTGTCCGTCCACAACAGTCGAAGCCCTGTGGTAACTTTGGGCCGCGTCCCCAGTCCACCGGTGACTGTTGAGCCTCATTGTGTCACACAGTGACTTCATTGATTCCGCCTCTTGGCACTGGAAGACGAGATGCAAAGTCCGGTTCCTGCAGCCTCCTCCTCGCTTTTATAAATCTCTCCGCTGACCTGTCTGTGTGTCTGTGTGTGTGTGTGTGTGTCTGTATGTCGGTGTGCGTGTCCCGTTCTGCAGTGGAGCGATGCATGAGCGTGATGCAGTCGGGGACGCAGATGGTGAAGCTGAAGGCGGGATCCAAGGGGCTGCTGCGACTCTTCTACCTGGACGAGCATCGCTCCTGCATCCGCTGGAAGCCGTCGCGCAAGAGCGAGAAGGCCAAAAGTAAGTGAATATGACCCAAGGGACTGGGGGGGGGGGAGAGGGGTGGTGGAGGGGTGGGGTCAGGAGAGAGACCGTTACTTCATACAGGTTGTGTGTTGATGATTTGACATCGCATCGTTGTCCATTTTAGCATTTTCTCCATCCCTCTCTGTTTTTCTTGGTTTTGTCTAATTCTTCCTCTGTTGCCTTAACGTATTGCTTCGTCTGCCCATGTTTGTAGCGGCGGCCATGTCCTCACGTTTACCCGTTATTTTTCTGGCATCTCTAATTGTGTTTCACTTATTTCCCCCCTGGTTTTTTTATTGTCTATCTCAGCTCTGTGTTTCGGATTGCATTTCTACTGTCCTGTGCTGCGGGTTAGGGACAGATTAGTTATTATCACAGCGTTCACTGCTCCCTCCAATTCATCATTGTTGTTTATCACTTTATCCCCCAGTTATTGTTCTCCCCCCACTGTGGCTTTCACCCTGACTCTGAGCGACGCTAGCATCTGTGTGTGATCCTGTATCTGTCTGTGCACTTTAGACACAAGATAAGCCTCTTAGCTGTCCTCCACTGACACCGTGATGAAGATAAACGGACCCACTGTTGTCCATGCTCGCGTGCATGTGTGTGTGTGTGTGTGTTTGTGCGTGTGTGTGTTGGATGAGATCTGTGCCGCAGGTCTCTTTAATATATGTAGACAAGTTTGATTCAGTGTGTGGCTGTATGCGTTTGTCAAAGCTAAAATAGATTAAAATAGATAGAATAGATACATTCAATTAGACATGAACAGAGCTAGAGAGATAGATAGATGGATGGATGGATGGATGGATGGATAGATGGATAGATGGATGGAGAGACAGATGGATGGAGAGACATTTCTGAATTTCTGAATTTGTACTCGATACTGTGTGCTTTCCCTGTACTCTCCTCCTCTTCCCCCCCTTCTCCTCCCACCCCCCCTTCTCCCCCCCCCCCCCCCCCCCACCTTCTCCTCCTGCTTCCTGCTGTGCTAGTCACCATTGATTCGCTCTACAAAGTGACGGAGGGCCATCAATCCGACATCTTCCACCGGCACGCGGAGGGCGGTTTCGAGCCGGCCTGCTGCTTCACGGTGTACCACGGCAACCACATGGAGTCCCTGGACCTGGTCACCTCCAACGCCGACGAGGCCCGGACCTGGGTGACCGGCCTGCGCTACCTGATGGCCGGCATCAGCGATGAGGACTCCCTGGCAAGACGGCAACGCACCCACGACCAATATCCTTCTGACGTACCCGCGCGCGCACACACACACACACACACACACACACACACACACGCAACAAATAGTCCCAACTAGTCAAAAGGCAACATACAGTATAACCAATATCCTTGGACACACATACAGAATTGATGAGTACACACACACACACACACACACACACACACACTGGACATTGTCCTTAACCGGTGTTTGTGACGTGGATGAAGCAGACGTTCGAGGAAGCAGACAAGAACGGAGATGGTCTCCTGAATATCGAGGAGATCTACCAGCTGCTCCACAAGCTGAACGTCAACCTGCCTCGCAGGAAGGTTAAGCAAATGTTTCAGGTCAGTGAGATCCCAAGTACAAGACAACAAACAAGTGCATGTTAAAAAAAATGTCTAAAATGTCCAGTAAAAAGTCCAGTCTAAAACTAACCAATGAGTCTGGTCTGAAATTCCATTGTGTTGAATATAAATCTTTATATTGAATGGCTACAGCACGTATTGATGAGGACTTGTATGTTGTGTATGTCTGCCAAACGTCAGCTCACGATGGCTTTGCAGACATTCATATCGTTGTTCTATGCTGTTGTGCTGCGTCGGGCTCTTCCAACAGAACAATACAACAGTACAACATATTTGAATGCCTAGCATGCGAAACAATGGCCGGCCTCAGCCGGTAGTAGGTCTGAGATTGTCACTCTGCTCCCCATGACCCGCCTGCTAACCTGGCACAGCCCTCGTCAATGTGTGTGTCTTCCTGTGTCCGCCAGTAACCCACCATTCACGCATCAGGTCTAACTTGAATAGAGGCGATTGATCCGTCGCTCAATCCAAGACCAGGCTGATTTCGGCGATCCTCTAACCTCGGAGCAGCTAAAAATAGACGCTTCGAGGTTTTGATTCGTATGCATTGCAATTCCCATAGAGCCCCTAATTCCACACCCCCAGCACCGACCCACCCTCACCATCCCCCCCTTAGTTGAGGCTAGACGTCCCTGATCCGGCGCTGCCCCGGAGCTAGCTCATCACAGCAGTGTAACGGTTACATTAGCTGGCATTATTGGATTTAGTGTGGAATGGAATTGGGACCCCCTGAGTGCCCAGTGTTATGAGGAAGGAGATAACGCAGAAAGGGAAAGGGAGAAGATGCAGAGAAGTGTGTCGCGGTGGCAGGCAGGAGTCCTCCTCTCAAGGAAACAAGGACGCTCTGAATGTCCCCAGGTAACACTTGAGAAATAATAACGATGACGATTAAGGAGACATAAAATGAGCATTGGGTTGGGCGGGGTTGGTGCATGTGTGTGTGCCTGTGTGTGTGGATAAGACTAAAGGGAGTGCGGGGAGAGAGTTACTTTATACATGGTGTTAAGGGGGATTTCATGTCACAACTCAATCTGTATTTGATCACGGGTCGTTGCACAAGATGGTGTGACATGGTGTGTTTTCAAACTACAAATTATATCCGTTCTGTTCAGTAATATAGCAGTCGCTGTCATCTCAGTCGAGCAGGTACGGCCGGGTTAGATATATTGTGCTCAATAATACCCGCGGATAGGTGGTGGACATTGGGCAATGAACCCAGGACCTTTCGTCTCTCGTTAGTCATCCCCTGTCACACACACACACACACACACACACACACACCACTCTCAGTCTTGCAATCTGGTATGCTTTGTTACTGTTCCCATAAGAATTTGTAACAGCAGCAGCAAAGAGCTGCGTTCTCTTGAGGCCTATTAATCCCGGGTCAAACTAAGGGATGGAGGGGAGGTCACACCGGGACATTAACAGAGTACTCACTGGTGATACTAAAAGCATTTTATGAAGCTTAAAATACTGTTTATCCCTCCCAATGTGCTGCCCCCCCCCCCCCCCCCCCCGGCAGGAGGCAGACACCGACGACCAGCAAGGCACGCTGACATACGAGGAGTTTTCTGTGTTCTACAAGATGATGTCACTGAGACGCGACCTGTTCCTGCTGATGATGGCGTACAGCGACAGGAGGGACCACCTGACGGCCGAGGAGCTGGCTGTCTTCCTGCGCAACGAGCAGAAGGTCAGCGAGGAGAGAGCAGGAGGACTGACAGCTCGGGGGGGGGGGGGTGATTTTCGAGCGATTTTTCATTTTTTTTAGCGCCGATACGATGTGTATCGCGATGTTGAAAACAACCGCGTTTTACGATTTTGTTTTCCCCCCATCCCTAATGGTTTGTTTTTGGCGGGTCTGTGCGGCCCAACTGGTGGAGCATGGCATTACTGTAACACTGCCAGGGTTAGGGGTTCAAATCCCCACTGCAGCAACCCATGCTAAGAATGTGTGCGCTTGTGTTATTGTAAGACGCGTTGGATAAAAGCGTCCGCCGAAAGGCGCGTATTATGTTTAATGTGAATCATTGAATAACAACAACAACAGCAACTTTGCTCCTTCAGTTCGCATTGTTATTTAACACAATATGTGGCACATCGTTTTTCTACCTGATTTCATAGATTAGCAAAATCGAATTAACCAGAATACGAATAGAAATATTGATGAGATTAACCGGTGAGATCCTAACCTTTTCGGATCCTCGATGGCGTATGCGTGGACCCTTTGGGGTTGCCGTTCGCCGGAGACGGGCTCATCGGATAATTGATGTGAAGGAGCCGCGTCGACGCCCCTGACACGCTCCTTTACTTTATGTTTAAGTGCTTTAAGTGTCACTCACGGTCTTCCTGCCTGCGGCCCCAGAGGAATGAGTTCCACTAAGCAGATTTATCACACCTAAAATTGGTTTGTCTCGTGGGCATCGCTCATCTCTTCTTCCTCTTCTCTTTCTTTTTTTTTTTAGGTCATGTCATGGTCCTCTTCCACTTGTTAAGTGGTGTTATTTTTTTTATTTTAAACCTGCCCCATTTACCTCCTCTACTCCTATCACTCAGACCACTGACAATTTTCCAAGCCGTTGCTGTTATAAAACCCTGTGGTCCTGTGTGACATCTTCAATGTCACCGTCACCTCCATGAAATTGACACCATGATTGCGAGTTATAGAGTTTGAATGTGCGTCCACTTCCCTTTGGAGGCCAGGGGTCCTGAATGGTTTCTTCTGTGCAGATGACCGCTGTGACTCCAGAGTACTGCGCCGACATCATCGATAAGTTTGAGGAATCGGCCGAGTACAAACAAAAGGGCCTCTTGGGCATCGACGGTAGGATCCTCTCCTTTATCGTAATTTCTTTCACTGTCAGATCTTGCGTCTCATCTCCGCTTCCGCCTACCCTCTTCTCCATCATTGCAAATGATTCACTTTTATTAAAGCTTTGATAGGAATAGGCATGATTACTGCACACTAAATGATCTTGACATCATATTTCGGGAGCACCGGGTGTCTCCTTCCAATTTTTTCTGCATTCATGCGGTTGTATATTTGGTTTGGATATTCGTTTGGGCTACATGAAGAGTTACCGAGGTCATATCGGATTTTTTCGATATTTTTTCTGACATTTTCCGGCGCCCCGGCCCGGTCCATCCCACCACCCCTACCACTATCCGCTTACATTGAGACAAGGGTACGAACATCCCTCTCACGTTCATCCATCCTTGAACCCTCATGCTGTTCTTCTTCTTCTTCTTCTTCTTCTTCTTCTTCTTCTTCTTCTTCTTCTTCTTCTTCTTCTTCTATTTTATTGACAGGTGTCGTTTTTTTGAATGACGTCGCGTAACTAGATGTTACAGCTAATATTTTACATACTGCCACCTGTTGTATCGGAGGGGAATGAAGAAAGCAGATCAAAATAGGCCCGGTGGTTATGCCGACCGTCAACGTTACCTGCCAACTTTTAAATATTTAAAGGGTAAAATACTGGAGAATCCCAGGAAAAAGTATGGACAGGGGTAGGTCCTGGATGGTGGTTGTACAGTTATACTGTAAATCCACATTTCCCCTTCCTAGGGACAATATATATATATATATATATATATATATATATATATATATATATATATATATATATATATATATATATATGTTTGTGACTGCTGTGACTACTCCCTCTAAGTGTCAGATTATCATTATTATTATTATTATGTTTCACAGCCCTGAGAGCAGAGAAATGAGATGGTGGGTAGAATGGTTAGCATGAGAGCATTGGAAAATGGGGCCAGGAGAGAGAGAGAGAGAGAGAGAGAGAGAGAGAGAGAGAGAGAGAGAGAGAGAGAGAGAGAGAGAGAGAGAGAGAGATTTGTCAAGATTATTTTTCTACTGCAATCTTCAAAGTCTTCCTCTTGATCTTCGTCTCTCTCTCTCCACTGCTGCAGATCCTCATCCTCTTACCCATCCTCTTGCTCTTTGCATTCATCCCTTGTTTGTTCACCCTCCACTTTGGATGAAAGAGTCCTCTCTTCCCTCTCTCTCTATCCCTCTTTTACCCTTTCCATAAATGTCCGTAAATACATACGTGGTCAGCGAATTCAAACTCCACCATTGCATCGATTAGGCATTGTGGCGTTATGTAACATATTAGCTGTAAGACTTATTAAAGGCAGTCTTTGTCTTTGCCTTATCTCGCGTGCATTTCTGGAGCATGACCTGCTTATTGAAATGGCACTAACGATGGAGGCCACTGCAAATGGCATTTTTCAGAACCACAAAGTTTCCAAGCAAAGTAAAAACAAAGGGAAGTATTATTATGATATATATATCATTGCTAAGTCCTTTGTTGCACCAGGGGCTTCTCCTGTTGGGATGAGTGTAAGGCTAGACACACAAGTATCACAAGGGGATTTGTCTGGCCTCTGGTCCTCTCCTCCCCCTCTAATAGTCATGACATCTGTTCTGTTTCTCTGACATACTCAACATATCTGGCCCAAAAACAGGTCCAGTGCCTTGTTATCTAACCACATCCAAGAGAAAGAAACAAAAGAGTCTGAAACGCAGAAATTACAAAGAAACAACTGCAACTGTGTTTCCAAAGCAAAAAATATGTTACAATAAGACTTATAAATCATTTTTTCATACAGAATTTCATACTGAATAGGAGGCAGGATAATGTAGCGGCTTGGGTGTAACTACCAGCCGGAAGGTACTGTGTTTGATCTCAAATCGGGCAATAAGCCTAAACCCTACCTGCTCCTTGTGACTCGTTTTGGATAATATGTAAGGGATAATGTACATTGATCTACCCTTATCCCGCCTATTACACGGCTACTTACTAAAGAAATACAAAAATTGACACAAAGTATAACTACAATGAAATATTTTATTGATTTAAAAATGGTTTTAATTGCTTCGGCTAAAAAGATGAGATTCTACGGTTTGGAAATAGCGTCCGTAGCAACAGTCTGTTATTCATAGCAGCGGCCTGCTATCCAGAAATAAGAGGCCATAGTATGGCGTAATTGACCAATCAGAATTGAGTAAAGAGTGCATTTGGGTTGTGTTCCTGGCAGGTTTCACCAGCTTCATGCGCAGCCCGGCCTGCGATGTGTTCAACCCGCTGCACCACGAGGTGAACCAGGACATGGAGCAGCCCCTGTGTAACTACTTCATCGCCTCGTCCCACAACACCTACCTGACAGGAGACCAGCTGCTGTCCCACTCCAAGACAGACATGTATGCCTGGGTGCTGCAGTCAGGCTGCCGCTGCGTGGAAGGTAACCTTGTATACAGTATAGTGTGTCAGTCAATATGTCTGTATGTATATCTGTGTAAGTCTGTTGATCTATCTGTCACGTCTGTCTGTCTGTCTATCTATATCTGTTTGTCGATCTGTCTGTCTGTCAGTTGCCGTGGATAAACCACACTTTAACACAATAAGAGAGATCGAGAAAGACCAAGTTTCAAGACTTTTATTATCACTTGTAAACAACTAATATCAAAGGCCGAGTTGGTTTGCAAAGAACTGATATTCTTGGCTCAGACTTCACGTTTTATTAGCTCCCTTTGTGGTTTCCTCCTCCATGCACTAACCAATCACAACAACCTATGCATGGTTTACTATTTGGTCCTAAAGATCTGGCACCTCCCCTGTGGTGCTTTCCCCAGCTCCCCACCAGCTGGACATACCATTACGCTATACAGATAAATAGAGAATTGACATAAGAGGTAGTTTTACACAATAAATACCAAATACCAATATTGAGTAAAGTAACAAGTCAAAGAAAACAAATATACCTGTACCAAATATATGAGTCAACATAAAGATGTGTGTAGCAACATGGATGAGCACAATGAAAATCACTTCCACTCAAACAATAAATGACCTCATGGATAAACACATTAAAGGTCACTTCTAAGACATGCACAATTTAAACAAGTATACTTGGATAAAACACGTAATCCCTCTAACTACATATATAGCTGAGGAATACCGCGATAAAGCATGTATTATCAAAGTTCAACAATGGATGAAAACATAAGTAGAGTACAAGGAGAGTGTGTCACAGGGTTATCAGTTGACCTCCACTCTGGCCGGGAGACAAAGGGGAAGGTACAGAATGGCATAAAGGCGCCATAGTGTTTCAAATATAGATTACAAGAGATATCCCTGTCCCAAGGATGGTAATGTGTCTTGCTGTGCAATCAACAACTTTGAGGGATCACACGATCACTGTGGCAATAAACATGCCTTTTCTGTCAGACACTTATTATGCCTCTTCTGGCCACCCCAGGGGTTGGTCAAGGAGTCAGATGTTCCAGCTCAGTTGTCACGCCTGTGCTCTCACGAGTGTGGAGAGGACTCAAAGATAATAGCCTGGATTGACTTCCTGAGCAGGGGGTGCAAACCCCAATAACAACACTTCTGTGGAACGTACCATCTGTACTCAGGGGGAGCCCTGAGAGTCTGACCATATTTGGGGAACTAAAGATCTGAGGTTTATATATAAGAGTCACCCATCTGTGATTCTCTGTATTTCTCCACACTTATTTTCATTCATATAGCATACAGGCAAGATAATGAGTATACTTTCTTTTAAACATAGTACATTTCTGCCATACTGTCTGTCTATATCTGTCTGTCTGTCTGATCTGTCAGTCATAAGGTCAGTCAATCAGTCTGTCTGTCTGTCTGTCTGTCTGTCTGTCTGTCTGTCCGTCTGTCGGTCAATCAGTCAATCTGCCTGTGTGTTTGTCAGTTGATCGACTTGCACTCTCTCTCTCTCTCTCTCTCTCTCTCTCTCTCTCTCTCTCTCTCTCTCTCTCTCTCTCTCTCTCCATCTCTCCATCTCTCCATCTCTCCACACGCATGCACCCAATGCACCCATACACATTCACACCCCAGGGCGATGAAATATAATAAGGGCTATATTAGCTCTTCATGAT